GTAGCCTCCTGCTCAGAAGCAGCCTTTTTATCTTGAGGTTTGTTGCTAGCAGTATACTTTTTTATTAGATAGAGTGTCTTTTACAGGATAAATTAGAAGTCTCTCATAGCCCTCAAGGTTATTGGAAAAAGCAGAACAGGCAAGCTTGAACTCAAATGACTTTTTAAAGTGAGAAATGACTCCAGATAGAAACTGAGTCACACGTGGGCTCCCACGCTACAACACTAAAAACTTTTCTAAGAAATTACTTTTTGACTTAGTGGGAATTTTTTGTTTGTTTTGCTTTTGTCGTTGAGAGCCAGGCTGAACCAAACTCAAAGCAGACTAGGAAAGCTTTCCTTCAGAGGAAAACTTCAAAGCCACAGTAGGAAGCAGCCGATTTACCAATGACCAAAAGAGCTCTCCTGGAGACTGTTTATTTTTTCCCCTGCAGTCATTCATTCACTCAGCAAATATTAGTCACTAAGTAACTACCATGTGCCAGACCTAGGAATACAGCAAGAAATCAGATAGGTAAGAACTCTTTCTAATGAAGTTTTCAGCCTCAAATATAATTGTAATATACTGCTTTTGAACACTGGCCCTAGAAAACATTCCTGAAGGAAATCTTGTCCTATGCATTCCTGTTCATCTCATTTCTCCCTAACCCTAGAGAGTTCATAATTCTCTTTATAGCAGAAATATATTATCAAAAGAGAAAGAACACTGGTGCTCACTCCTTAAAATTCACCTCTTCTTCAGAAATCAAGTTAAAGATTTCCTGGAGATATATTAAATAAAATTTAAAACTGTTTATAGAATTCTTATTCTGTAAACAGCACATTAAAATTTACCCAAGCTCTGGATGAACACTGCTGTCGTAATAAACCGATGTGTAGCAAAAGAAATATTTGTAAACATCAACTATAAAACAAAGTTTAATTCTAGTAGTTTCAGTGAGCATTTGAACAGCATACACTATAAACACACTACACTGTGTTGATCCTGAACAAGTTACATTTTTCCTTACCTCACCTTCCTTCCTATAAAATAGAGAGACTTACTCTAAAGGGGTGAGTTAAAAGCACAGGTAAAATAGTTACAATTGTCTTAAAACAGGGCAGTGTTTAATTACTTGTAGTAATAATTAACACCAGTAAATGATGAATTACAAGTGACTAATTTTACATCAATCAATCACACAACTATAAACATTTATTTCTCATGAGTTTACAAGTGCTGAACACAACACATCTGAACTTGAACAAACATAAGTCAAAGGCTAAAACCAATTAAATGATGTAAAGTAGTTAACAACTTCGTGTATAACACTATTGCATTGGTTCTCAGCCTGTGGGTCACAACCCTTAGGGGGTCCAATTACCCTTTCACAAGGGTAGCCTAAGATCACCAGAAAACACAAATATTTATATCAAAATTGTAGCAATGAAGTTGGCCAGTAGCAGTGCACGCCTTTAATCCCAGGAGACAGAGACAGGTGGATCTCTGTGAGTTCGAGGCCAGCCCAGTCTATGGAGTAAGTTCCAGGACAGGCTACAAAGCTACAGAGAAACTCTGTACCAAAAGCCCCTGCTCAAAAAGAAAATATATGAAAATAATTTTATGGTTGGGGTCAGCACAACATGAAGAAATGTATTAAAGTGTCGCATGCAGCATTAAGAAGGTTGAGAACCACTGTACTATAGGAATGTGAAATTCAAACCAGAAATTCATGAAGCAACTTGTACGACTACTACATGCTGAGTTACTTTAAAAGACATGATTTCAAGTCAATCCTCTCTGGTGGCCATAGAAAAACTAATAAAAAACAAAATGTAAAATATGATATAACTGCTACATTTAAGGAAAAAGTAGGAAGCATCTTTCCATAATCTGTTGTTAATTCAGGACCATATAATAAACAAGAGAACGAACTTGTTTTAGCAACCAATTTCTGATCTTGTCAACTATGAAAACCCAGAAATAGTGTAAACAAATGCTGCCACCTTGTGGACTAATGGATCTGGGATTAACCTCAAGCAAAGAAAGGATTTCTGAAAAAGAGAACTTTAAGAGTGAGTGCCAAAATCTTTTGATCATAATTTATTTCTGCTATAAAGAGAATTATTGGCTCTTTGTGTTGGGGAGAAATGAGATGATCAGGAATGCAGAGGCAAGATTTCCTTCAGGAATCGTTCAAGGCTTAGTGCTTTTCCTCTCAGATAAGAATCAGTGCAATAAGGTAATCAACACAACACAGATCTTACATAACTTTGATAAGAAAAATAATTTCTTCCCAGTGGTGGCACACGCCTTTAATCCCAGCACTTGGGAGGCAGAGGCAGGCGGATCTCTGTGAGTTCGAGACCAGCCTGGTCTACAAGAGCTAGTTCCAGGACAGGCTCCAAAACCACAGAGAAACCCTGTCTCGAAAAAGCAAAAAAAAAAAAAAAAAAAGAAAAATAATTTCTTCTAGCCAACACTGTTTTAGTGGTTTTTAACCCTCTTTATGAAGTTCATTAGCTTCAATATTAATTAAAAGGAATAAAACCTTAGAATGAATTTATTACCACTGTTTCAATATCAGAAGAGGAAAATGTCTTCAAAATTATGAAAATTTCAAAGCTCCTTCATTTGACTTCACCATCCTATCTTACTTCCTATTATTCTTCATCTGTCCAGTTTGCATAACAAATTTCCAAATTTGGAAAAGTTTCATTAAGAAATGTTAATTCAGCATAATTGAGAGAAAATAATGAAAGATTTAAATTTGTAAAATTCTAATTTAAAATATGTAAATGTGACTGACCTCACTTTGAATGTCTAGAATTTCCAGTCTGAAATTCTATCTAATTTTAAGCTACTTCTGTTTCAGGATATAAAATGTTTTGACATGAATGTCTTGATATGGTAAAAAATTATTTAAGTACTTTTGTTAAATTCTGGAATATATTAAATTGAACAAAACTAGGTTTTAAAATGTTAAGGATATATTCCTGTTGAAATGGACTGACTATAGGTCTTAAATCCCTCAGACAGAGATGTTGCTTTTGCAATATGCTATTTAAAAGAAATTTTGATCTTGTTTTTAACTGAATAGGAAAATACGACACATGATCAATCAACAATAGTAAGGGACAGTAACTGGAATCACAACAGGGTCCAAATACTTTAGCCTGTGTATAGTCCTATTATATTACATCAATATTACAAAATCTTTTGAGAGAGAGAGAGAGAGAGAGAGAGAGAGAGAGAGAGAGAGAGAGAGAGAGAGAGAGACACTATCCCACTATATAGCAGATCTGCCTGCCTCTGCCTCCAGAATGCTGGGCTTTAAGACATGTGCCACCACACCAGCCCTCCTTTCATAGTTTTGAATTTTGCACTTGAACCACATATCTGAAGCATTTAACAACAACCTATGTCATATATTCTTTGCGTATGCCTGCAGGCCAGAAGAGGGCACCAGACCTCATTACAGATGGTTGTGAGCCACCATGTGGTTGCTGGGAATTGAACTCAGGACCTTTGGAAGAGCAGGCAATGCTCTTAACTGCTGAGCCATCTCTCCGCCCCAACCTATGTCATATATTCTTATCAGAAGTTAAAAATTTATGTAATAATATTAACCTGCTACTATAGGATAATTGTTTTATAAACTAACCAATTATATGTTAAAGACATGAGAGTAAGATTATGAGGCCTCCCGAATGTAATCAACTGTATGTACCCTCTTCACTAGTATACATTTAGTTTAGATAACAGGTAATCAATGAAATTTTGTTAGAAGAATTAAATCAAGTTGAAATTCCACTGCAGCTTTAAATTCTATTCACCCCAAAAAAAACTAAAATTTCCAAAAGGAATCAATGTAAGGATTTTTCATTTACAAGCAGCTAGAAAGCTCTAGAAAATTTCATGCAATCTTGTTATCTTTAATGGCTCAGAGGTAAAAATTAATCTACATAAATGTAAAACAAACAAATGAACAAAAACCGGCTCTAGCGTTCCCCATGAAAAGCATGCAAAGTTTTAGTAACGTTCAGGAGTTAAAATGGGACTGGAGTCAGGGAGTAGCTTAAGGATACAGTCAGCAACAATAATAACCCAACTGGTCAAATTGTTCATCTGTTTAAAAATGTCTTTTAAGCCTATTTATTCTAGTAAATTGGAATATTGACAATTTGTAGATACCAAGGGATTACTAAAAATGGGCTAAATGGTATAAAACCTAGTGGTTTTGCAATATCCATTATTTTAAGAAATGGAAAACTGCATATATTAGTGAAATTTGTGTCTGTTTCCAAGTAAACCCACATGTGTGCAGGTGAACAAATGTGCATGCGAAAGTCAGAGTACAATTTTGTTTGCCATTCCTCGGGTACTGTCCCCCTTTCTTTTAAGACAGGCTCTCTTCCAGGCCAAGGACTTGCCCGCACTGTAGCACTGGCGTAATAAGCATGCACTACTATAACTGGCCTTCATTTCACATGGGTTCTGGGTGTTAACTCACGATCTCTTGCTTTTGAGGCAAACAATTATTGGCTGAGTTATAACACCAACCCCCAAATACATTTTTTAAATATACTCTTGTCAGTTTGTGCTTAATACAGTTAGACATCTACAGTCTACGTCTCTTAAGTTCCCAAGTTATATGCTAATTGTACAAACTATATAATTACTTTGATCATATTCTTATCTTCAATGGAGTTTCACAGGAGTCAAACATTATATTCAGGAAAGAAATATACCAATTCTATCTAGACTTGCAAAATCAAAAGGAGGACATAAGGAGCACCTTACAGCATTACACCAGACAACAGATACACAATTATGAAGAGAAGCTGCAGCCTTCTCTCAGACTGGTACCACTGAGTATTCCAATTTGCTAAATCTTAGTAACGGGAAGGCATTTATCTCTTGAATTCCAAATTTCAGGGATGTTACAGCTGCTTCACAAATTTAGTAAGTCTGCTTATATTTGAATAAGAGAACACAGTAGAAGTGTACCAAATACTTACCTAGAAACTATACTGGAACCATTATAGAGATCACTAGCATATGATAACGTGGCCAATGGTCTTACTGAGTTGTATCGAGTAAACTTGGACAAACATTCCTGAAATTCATCTAACTGGCTTGTAGTTCTACTGTCATCTGTATCAAAAAAAAAAAAAAAAAAAAAAAAAAAAAAAAAAAAAAAGATAATAAGTAAAGAATAACACTATAAAAGAAGTAAAGAACAATGTCCTCGTATTAAAGATTATCTTTCAAATAACAAATATTTTTTAAAGATTCTAAAGAAGACCAGCATGCTCAAATTAATTGGTGATCTTTAAACTTTAATAAAAATGGTCTACGGAGTCACTATAACGCCTTTTTATGCCATGAAGAATATAAAGGCAATCTCCTCTACTTTGGTTCTAACTAACTTCAGGGAATTAAATACTTTTTAAAAGAGCTTCTAGTGAACAGAAATCAAATTGTTCCTTAAAATTCAATTCTGATTATCAATGTTAACAGTAAAGGAAGACTGATCTGGAGGAAGATCTACACATGACTTGGTATTTCTTAATTTAACAAATGTGTTTATAAGGTTGAACATTTATCTCACATTTATGGTCAAAGTAAAATTATATAATAAATATTAGGAAAAAGATTTGAAATTAACAAGTGTGCTGACATAACTGAAGTATTTTAAGTCCTATTCTCATTTAAGTACAAAATGGCAATGTATAAATTACTGATTCTCAAAGACAACTGTAAAGACACTCAATAAAACACCAAAGTCCCCTCCAGGTAATATACTCAAAACAGATATATGAGATTCAAATCAGAAAATTAACTTACAAGCATCTGGCAATTTATCTATTCACTAATACAGAGGTATGCTTGCAGGAAAACACAGATAATAAAGTACTCAGGTTTTTAAAGGATATTGAAAATCTGATTTGTAAACTTTCCCCCAAAGAACTGAAAACACAGAACAAAAAATTACAACACAATTACTTTAGCTTTCTAAAGACCAAAATTTGAAATGATCTATTTTAACGGTATCGTCTCATAACTTCCTTCTTTTTGTCATCCACATACAAGCATATAGCACATTCAACATAAACTTAGTGATTCCACTTATTACATACTATCTGAAGTATAACAGTAGGCATAATGAAATTAAGATGCAAAAAGTACCGAACAAAAACAATTCTTTAAAAAATTATCTTGACTTACACGACATAAAATCTAATACTTATAATAAAAACAAAGTCATTTGAAGAAATTAAACGCCACCATTGATGCTGTCATAAATACTAAAGATTTAAGCAGTAAGTAAAAACAACCTAGACTAAACGAGTCCAAGTTAGTGTGTTTTTATTCTAAAAACAATACAAGAATGACCTAGTTAGCATATGATATCATAACAGAAATAAAAGTCTTATTCCATAAAGTTACAGTGGCACAGTCCAGATTTTAAATAAAACATGGGTTACAGAGCAGGCAATCACTAAAATCAACTACTACAGAATGCTATAGATGATTTTTTTAATCCTATATTGTAAATTATTTAATATAAGTACATGCAAAACAACTTATTTATTCATTCAGAAAAGTTTTTAATATTACTCTTCTTTCACATTTTGCCTTTAATTCCTACTAAGTACATAATCACATAATCACAGGCATTCAAGAATGAATACTCTGTTGAAAAGCACATTTGTTTCTAGTGTTCATGTACTCCTAGCTATCAATCAAGCTGATTAATACAAACATATTGCATTTTATAATTAAAAAAAAACAGAGGCTACAGAGATGGCTCAGCATTAAAAGCACTTGGGGGATGAGCTGGGTTTGGTTCCTAGTACCAACATGGTGATTTACAACCACTCATAATTCCAGTTACAGAGGACCTGAAGTCCTCTTCTGACCTCCACAGGAAGTAGAGGAGGCACACATGTGGTAAACAGATATACACGCAGCCAAAAATTCATATATGTAAAGCAAAACAAGTCTACAAACAAGTTCTTGCTGTTTCAGTATCTTTTTCAAATAAACCAGTTCTTTTTCAAATATCTGGTTATAATGTTTGGATTTTGTCCGCTTGGCTTTTTATGATCAACATCTGTCAGCATATCACCTCTCCATCTTACTTATAGCTTAGAGAAGTAATTTTAATGTCTCTTTTCCTCTTGATGACATTGCATTTACATCCTGTTTAAATTACAATTAAGAGGTCAAGACATTAATATTCTAATAATTACCTGTCATTTTCACAACTGAAAAACAAGGTAGAGATGGAAAAATAATAAAGTGCAATCAACATTTTATGGACTCCACTGGTACAAGTGAAGGTTTCCTCCTAACTGTTGAAAGAACCTCATATTCAGTAGTACAGTTAAGGGTAGCCAATGTGCAAAGCTAGCATCAGTGAAGATTTCTAAAAGCCAGAGACAACATGCTTTAAGTGTGCTCCTCGCCTATTAATCTACATCTTCTAGAACCAATTACCTAGTTACCACGTTTACTATTCATAGTAAGCATATCTGTGTTGTCAGTGACTTAATTCTATCTCAAGCTCTCTGTCATCTCTACTTTAAAGAAATTATCTCAGTATCTATCCTATGACCTATCATCTTCAGCATCAAAATAACAAGTCATGTTTAAAAGAGTCAACAATTCCCTGCCTGTTAAAATACAGGTAAGAGATTATTAATTTAACCACTCCTTATTGCAGTCTATATATTCATAAACAATTATAGAATTAAAGGACTTAAACCCTTGGCAGGCAATATTTTCACCCATAAAAAAGTTCACAATTTCAAACAGGTTTAAGAACAAACTTTAGCATTTCCCTAAATATGAATGCATGTATGTGTATACGCTGGCCACCAACTATACAGTCAAGGATAACCTTGCACTTCAAATCCGATTAGCTCTAACTCTTAAAGGAGGATTGCAGGCCAAGCACACCATGCTTATTTTTACTTTTAAATATAGTACTGGCAATCAAATTCAGGATTCTGCATGTTATGCAAGCATTCTACCAACTGAGCCACATACTTAGCCTGCATGAATCAGTATTTTTTCTCCATCACCAATTATGAGGTAAATTTATCAGCAAGATCTAAACCGTCTTAATACTATCTTATAAAGTGTTGATTCATTCAGGAGAAAAATCATAACTCAGTTTTCAATAACCAGTAAACTACCAGACAATTTTCCCCTGGATGTTTTTCATTTACAACAGGCATACTACTAATGGAATCAGTTAGTTGGACACCTAACATGTACTAAGCACTGTGTTCTAAACACTTCACCTATAACTATTTTTATTTGTGTGTTTGTGTGTGTGTGTGTGCATGTGCGTGCAAGTGCGCGCACGTGTGCTGTTGATCAACAGAGGCTAGAAGGAGTCGGATCCTGTGGTGCTGAAGTTACAGGCAACAGAATTGGGAACTGAATTTGGGTCTTTCAGAAGAACAGCAAGTACTCGACACCATCTGTCCATGCCCTCATGTATAATGTTTTAAAACACTTGTGGGCTTATTACTAATACCCACCACTCGTAGTTGAATAAAGATGTTGAGAAAGGTTGAAGAACAATCTTATTCCTCTAAAATTAAAATATCTTATGTTATCATGTCCATGTAGTCCTATGCTATTTTGTATGTTTCTAATTATTTTTTAGTTAATTTATTTGCCTAAACACAATCTCAGTCCCCACTCAGAACATTCTTTTATGTCTTTCATTGTCACTTATTCCAGATTTTTCACACGCAGTTGTACCAATGAATACTGCACATTTGTAGCACATGGTATACATGAAATTATTAACTGCTGCTTTTGCCTACAGATTTATAATATCCCACCTTATGATAAATAAGAACCAATTCTTCCATCTTTTAATCCTCAGTACAAAGAAAAGTGTTTAAAACTTATTAATGTTGAATAGGAGTTAATTAAATAGAACTTGTTTTTGCTAGGTACATATCCATAGTTATTTTTTCAAATTTTATAGTTTGCTCTAGAAAAAATAAACATTCCTGAATGAGAAACAGAGATTACCAATAGAAAATAGCATTCTTCATGATCTCTAAGACCTTCCACACTATGGATAAGACTGCCAAAAAAATAGAATTTGCTTTGACATTAGAACTTTTCATATATCTAGCATATGAACCTGTACATACATCTGAAGAATGATTTTCAGACATGTTTGAGAAATCCTGAACATGTACCTGAGATACGAGACATCCTTGTAGAAAAATAACACTGCTCTAAGTCTTCAAAATGAGCAGTGAGTCGCTTTCGTCTTGATGCTAATGTGCTGTTATACCAAGGCTGTTTCTTTGTCTAAGGTGATAAGAAAAGACACTTACAACTCCATGTAATCCACATTCTTACACAGAATAGCCAAATGCTTACTTATGGACTTTCAAATAAAGTGAACACAAATGGCGAAAACCTGTAATTCTCAGACCTATACTTCCAATTTATTTTTTCAAATAAATACATAAGATGGGGAGTAATCCTCTCAAAGAATGATTAAGAAATAAAAATGAAACATTCTTTTTAAAACAGTGATGTGAAGGTAGTAGAGATCAGCTGGAAGAGTGCTCGTCTGTCATGCACAATGCCCTGGTTTCCACTCCCTGTACCACAGAAAACTGACAGTGGTGGCCAAGGCCTGTAAACTTGGTACTTAGAAGAAAAAGGCAGGAGGATGAGTGGTTCTGAGTTAACCTTGGCTATACAGCAAGTTTAAGGATTAGCCTGGGCTACAGAAGACTGTCTCCAAAGTGTTTAAAAAAAAAAAAAAACCAACAACAACAACAACAACAACAACAACAGAGAGCAATAAGGAAAAAAAAAAGGAAGAAATGGGAGATTCATCAGCTAAATGAGATACAATATGAAAAAGATTAAATATAATTTTCTACCCCTCAACATACTTCAAAAACATTAATTCAAATCCCTATAGTGATTGTTTTTGTTGTTGTTTTTTGTTTTTCGTGACAGGGTTTCTCTGTAGCTTTGGAGACTGTCCTGGAACTAGCTCTTATAGACCAGGCTAGCCTCGAATTTACAGAGATCTGCCTGCCTCTGCCTCCCAGGATTAAAGGCATGTACCACCACTGCCTGATCCTACAGTGATTTTGTAGGCACCAAATCTGCAACATCCAGAAATAATTATTGCTTCTATGAACTACTCTTCTAGAGAGGATTTACCTCTTTAGCCCTTAGTAAGATCATAAAATGTAGCCTTTATTATGCCTGGACCCTTGTATACAAACTATTTTATTATTCTGTGATGAAGCAGGAAATATGTATGAAGCACTTTACAAGTAAGTGTACTTAAATTTACTCTTAGTTAACTGCTGTTACCATGGAATACAAGAATAACAATTCATAAGGAAGCACTGAATAAAAGAAAAAATGGTAAATATAAATTCCCCCCCCACCAGGGACAGAGAAAAATAGTTGAATTGGTAAGATGTTTGCCGTGCAAACATGATGATTTGTTTGATCCCCAGAACCCACTTTAAAAAACTGTGTATAGTGGAACACACTTGGTATCCCACCATTGGGAAGGAAGAAATAGGTGGATTGGACTTCACTGGCCAGCCAGACTAACCTATTCAGTGATCTCCAGGCCAACGAGAGATCCTGCCTCAAAAGAGAAAACAAAAAACTTTGGGGGTTGGTACTTCACTCTTTGCCACCATGCCCTCCATTGCAGAACAGACTGTGACACCAAAATGTGAGGAGGATTGGGGTAGAGAGAAGAAACCCTCTCTAAGTTGTTTTCATTACTTATTTTGAGAAAACAAGAAAACTGTGATTTGCCAACCTTCTCCCTCATTAGAGGCAGAAAAAAAACCCTCAGACTGGTTTTTTAAAACCAAGTGGACAGTCCTAACTATCATCATAACCCTACAAGTAACATTATGCAGATTGAGCGGGCATATTTATATACTTAGGAATATAAATGATAAAAAGAAAGGCATGAATTTGAGAGCAAGGGAGGTTAATGGGAGAGGCTGGAAGGAGGAAAGAAAAGGAAGAAAAGTATACAATTATATTTTAATTTAAAGAATTGTAAAAAATAGAAGAAAACATCTTCAACATGATCAGGGGCATCTACAGAAATAAAATCCTAATATAACAGGTTAAGGTTAGGAGGGAAAGGGAAAGAACAAAGAAAAGAGCACCGAGTAAGAAGGAAAAGGTACAGGAGGAAATAAATGCAGGGAGAATAGAGACATTAAAGTTGTAAATCAAAACTCACTTTTGTCAAACCCCCAGAAGGAGAGCCAGGAATGCCACTCAGAGGTTTTCCTGCATCACTGACTGCATCACAAAAAACTGCTAGAATCACAATTTGAATAAAAGCCCCCTAAATTACACAACAAAAATTATTTATGGGAGAGTGAAGAATTAGCCCTAGCAGCTGCCTGTTCAGGCTTAGGTCAATCCCATTCTTGTCAGTTGACCTTGAGTCAATGACAATACCCCCACCCCACCCCCACCCACTCTTCAGAGAGGGTAAGGCACATAGCTTTGGGGAAGGTCCTGAAGAATAACTTATCTCTGTTGACAAAACCAATAGGAACATGTCTATACAAATTTAAGTGAAAGTTTCATAGGATACCCATGCAACTATCAGAAAAATAAATCATATTAAGATGGCAAGATATAAAAGATAATTAGCATAAGTTATGTAAGACCTCTATATTGTAAGTACAAATATATTAGTTTCTGTTTTACAATTACATAATAATCTCAAATTAAGTGTCATTTTAAAAATGTATTTTTAACAGTAAATTTTCAATATTTAAACTTCTTAGCAATAAACATCTAAAAACATGAACACTATAATAAAATCATCCATCAGCCCTCTCTTGGATAGTTTCTAATGTAAAGGCGGGGTCTGGATTAAGAGTGTGTGTGTGTGTGTGTGTGTGTGTATCAAATTTTGGGTCTTAAGCAGAGAATCTAACACTAAAAAATATCCCTGCCTGTCCTCACCCCCTTCAAATGTTCTTTACTAAGCTAAATAAGGTAGTACTAAAACTCATAGGATAAAATGAATTGGAAAACTTTACAAAAGACTGAAGAACACAGACTACTATGGCGAAGAACCAGGAGGGAGCTTACCTTTAAAAGATACCCTAACAAATAAATTACACTCTTCAAAAGGCTGGCAGGAAATGGAAAGATACATGACAAATAAACTTAACAGTGATTTTAAGCTGGTCCTGGACCATTAGGTAGTCGTCCCCCCCTTTTTTTTTTCCACCAGGAATGGTGGTGGCTCATGCTTGTAATTCCATCATTTAGGAATGATGAAGCTAGGGAACTGTTCTGAATATGAGGTTAGAATAAGTTATGACAGTGAGTGTCTGGACAATCTGAGTAACAGTTCTAAGACAGACACACAGCAGTAATAAGAATATGGCTATTCAATTTAAGCTTTAAAATACAAGTCCCTATGATTTTTAATAATATAAATTCTTAATTTTGCTCATAATACAGAGCTATAAACAATTCTAAAGCAAAAAAAAAATACTCAGATAATTAATAGAATGGAATACCTATACTATAAAAAGGTCAACATTTCTGGCTTTTGTTAACCATGGTAGCATTTCAAAACTTTATTTCACCCATTAAATTGTTTTTATTTTCTATGTGTATAACACCTCTATAATTATAGGATAACATTCTTAAATTCTTACTTATTTTACTATGGCTGGTCATGTTTATGTTTCAGAATTTGCTATACTACAACCCTATTTTAAAAAGGTTAGTTACAATTTTATGACTTACGTGCCTGTAAGAATATATGCTGCATGTGTGTGCTGTCTATGGAGGCCAGAGAAGTGCACTAGAATACCTACAACTGCAGGTGACAAGGTGACAAGCAGCTGTGAGCCACCTGACATGTGAAATCATGGCCTCTGGAAGAGCAACAAGTGTTCCTAATTGTTGAGCCATCTCCAGTATTATCAATCTTTTTGTAGCACTTCAAATCATTTCCTTAAGGAGTCCCATGAGGATAATTATCAAATCAAATATTTCTAGCAATTACCATATATATATATAACCAACTCATGCAGTAGGAGCTGCGGGCCGCTTCCTGCCTCCTAGCTCCAGGCCACGGGCTAGCTTTACCCAAAATAATTACATGGAAACTGTATTCTTTAAACACTGCTTGACCCATTAGCTCGAGCCTCTTACTGGCTAATTCTCACCTCTTGCTTTAACCCATATTTATTAATCTGTGTAGCACCACGAGGTGGTGGCTTATCAGGAAGGATCTTAACCTGTGTCCATCTTGGAGAGGAGAGCTATAGCGTCTGCCTCACTTCCCTTCTTCCCAGCATTCTGTTCTGTCTACTCCACCCACCTATGTTCTGACCTATCAGGCCAAGCAGTTTATTAATTAACCAATGAAAGCAACAGATAGACAGATGACCCTCCTCCATCAAACTCAACTTCTCCATTTTCTTTTGTCTACCCTTTCTCCTACAGACACAAACACAAATGCGCATGCATGACCAAGAGCACAAATGTAGCCATGCAAAAATAAGGATATAGTCATATTATACCTAAGAATGCTTTGAAACATAATGGCTGGTTCCACAGTGCTAACAGCAGAAGAATTTCAACTATCATACTAATGCTAACATACAACTCCCATATCTAAGCACTGCTGATTAGTAACAACCTCTTGTGTTGTCAGCTGTACAGGTCTATGACATAGGTAACTGTGTTCAGTACGCAACATTAATAATGATAGTATAAAATAGAACTCCCAGGGAGGAAAAGCCATACTTATTTTGAAGACTGACTGATTGGAATTTCATGACAGTAGTGCTGGAGGAGCACCTTCCGCTCCTTCAGCCAATAGCTGCTGAGATACCAGCCCACTGGGGCATGGTCTATTTTTCTTTAAAAAAAGAGCAGCTTGCTCTGCTTGCTCTCTTGCTTTTGGCTCTTGCGCCTGACTAGACTCCTTTCCTGGCTGTCAGTGTTCTGTAAGTTTATCCCCTCAAATAAATACCCCTATAATCCAAAAATGGTGTGGGATTGTTTTGTGCATTACAGTAGAAAGTTGAAACTCAGCAAATTTAGAGTCAAAATTATCTTGGACTATTTTCATTTAGTCATTTTAATAGCCATTTAGTGCTCACCTACAATATGATGCTTAGAACACTTTCCATCATCAGGCGTACCTTAGAGTGCATAAACTTAGCAGATGCCAGGCTTTCTCCAAGCCCAAAGCCCAACAGCATCTGAAAGCTATTAGCAGAGGCTTTTTGGACTTGGCATCATAACTGATCTGATGTCCT